TGCATGTGGGTTAGAAACATAGAAAATAGAAACAGCAGTAGGCCATTTGGTTCTTTGGGCTGTGCAATTCAATACGATCATGATCATCCAAATTAGTGCCCTCTTCCTGCTTTCTCCGTATACCTTTTGACCCCTTTAGCCCCAATAACTCTGTCTAACTCCTTGAAAACAGTCAATTTTCTGCCTCTTGCACATCCCTTCAGAAATCCTGACTCGCACAAAAATGCAGTAATTGTTTTGGAAGTTTAAACTTTTCATGGGGAAATTTGTACTGCCCGGACCCTCCTGACAATTTCTCCAATGCTGACCTCATGGTCAGACTTCAGCCTGTAGCACAATAGCAGTGCAACTCAATCCCCACCCACCTCCCTGCTGCCAATTGCCTAACCCCTGCAACTGTACCTTCTCGCAGCCTCCACCCCAAAGGTTTATTTGGCATGCAGTAAATAGTTTTGTGTGGATTTAAAAAGTTGCCTTGTGTTATTTAAGATCAGGTTATTCACAAGTTGTAGATCAGATGTTGTGATTAGAAATATTTTAGTCATTCCATTCAATGTTAAGGTGCAATGGTTTGATTCTCTCTTGTTGGAAAAACGTAATACTCATAAGAAATTTCCTCCAGTCCAGCTGATACCCTTAAGAAGTCTAGACTAGAATGTTCCTTTTCCTTCTCCCTGAGTTGCTGTTCTATTTACTTACATGTTGTGAAGAACCAGTGCATCCCAGATCATAGAAGATATGATCCCACCAAGTGCATATTTAGTGAACTCCAAAACTGTGACACTCCTTCACAGCCTTCAATTTGGAATTAGGTTCAGAAAATAATTGTCACAATAGTTGCTAATATCATTTGTGGTTTTCCTACCACTGTTAATCGATGGTCCAGTGGTTAACACTGGTGCCTCACAGCGCCAGGGACCTGGGTTCGATTCTATCCTCGGCCGACTGTCTCTGTGGAGTTTGCAGGTTCTCCCAGTGTCTGTGCTGGTTTCCTCCGGGCGGTCCGGTTTCCTCCCACAGTCCAAAGATGTGCAAGTTAGTGAGATTGACCATGCTGAATTGTTCTTAGTGTCCAGGGATGTGCATTCTAGGTGAATTAGCCATGGGAAATGCAGGGTTACAGGGATAGGGTCGGGCATGTTGGGTGTGGGAGGGATGCTCTTCAGAGGATTGGTGTGAATTTGATGGGCCAAATGGCCTGATTCTATTCTATATGGATTCTATGGTTCTGTAATTAATACTGAAAGTCTCTCGTTTATTCAAAGTAGAGAGTTATAAGTCATGTCCCTCTCTTGCACTGTTTTGTTTCACTCCATAGCCCCGACTATGTCAGTCTCGAACTCAGGATGGAACCATGCTAAACGTCACAGTTCTGCTACAATGTTAGCAATGAAGCAGGAGATCAAATGATAAAAATTATAAGTGATGAGATTTGATCATAAATCAACCAAAGATTTGAATAATAGTCAAAATATTACTTGAGGTACTGCAGGGACTGAGCATGAGATAAAGTTAAAGATAAAACTGATTTTATTAAAATGTCAAATCATTCTACTTGTCCACCATCAGTGATTATTTATTTCACTAAATTATTGGAATATAGAGTAGTTAAATAATTTGTTGAACTAAATACGTTATTTTGGTACATTGCAGAGATGATGGAAATAGTGTATGTCTATACTAAAATACGGAGCGAGTTTGGGCGGCAGTGTAACTTTTCAGATCGCCCAGCAGAGCTACATGTTGACATTGTCCCGGATCCATCATTGGCAGAAAACTTCATCGAGAAAAATCCCGTTGATGTGTTTGTACAAGTTTCAAAGGACATGTCTGAACATGAGGTAGGATAGCAACAGTTGAATTTTTGAGTCTTCTTAAAAATTCCTGATACTGCTAGGAGTTACTGCACACTTAACAAGGGGAGGTTGAACTGAATCCCAGGTTTCTCTGCCAATTCTGTCTATTAGTTATTTCCTATGTTTAAAACCTGTTTCAGGTAGTCACCAGAAATTTCACATATCTGAATATCCAGTTCTTCAAAAATCCTTTACATACCATTCAGTATCTTTGAAGGTTTTTTAAAACATTTCATATTGTCTACAGTAATCTTCACAAATGTAGCCAAAATGTAAATAAGTTGAGATATTCCTTAAAAAGAGGCTAATATTTGCAACGTCTTTCTCGCTTCTTGCATATACATTGCTATACTGGTTAGAAAAGCTTGTGGCAGAGTGTGCAAAGTAAATTAGGTTTTTAATGTTTTGAAGAAGAGTGGTGTGCTTCTGTGTTGTTTTTGATCTTGTATCCGACCAAAAACTTTTTCCGAACTTGGCATTTTTATGAAGTCCCCTACCACCTAATTGGCAGGTTGTCTTTTATATATGCACTTTGCAGGCATTCTTTAATCTCTTCCTAGGCAAAAGTCATTTGTGTCACGCAACATGACTAGTATGCATCCATATGTGAAGAGGCACAGGTTGCCAGAGTATTGGTTGTCATTCCATCAGAATTGTTGAGAACCCAAAGTAGAAAATAGAAAAAAAACAAGCTGGTCAAAATGTTTCTAATGGAAACTTTGATGTAATTTTACTATATTTGCCCTAAAAAGATTATTTAAAAAAACAATAATTATTGATGATCTGTACAGAGCTTTTAAAAAAAGGCACATGGAAAATGCGGGCCCTGAATTCTGTTAATGTCACAGTGTGAATCCTGCTAATCACACTTGTTAAATTAACTTGCATAAGCCTTTATAACTTTGCTAGTATAATATGTATATGGATGCAAGTGAAAATTTTAGCTGTACAATATGGAATAAAATATTTGTTAAAAGTTCAAAATAATAAGAACTTGTTTTTCTTTCAAAGACGTTGTACAGAAACCTTCACTTCTCCTAAGGAGAATATGTAATGCTTTTGTTTTGTCTTTTTGTGTTCTGAAATTGATAACTATGGCAAGTCAGTTAGCTGAAAATTGTAACATCCCAGACAGACAATAAGAAATAGGAACAGGAGTATGCTATTCAGCCCCTCGAGTCTGTTCTGCCAGTCAGTAAGATCATAGCTGAACTGACATTCCTCATGTCCAATTTCCTACATTTTCCCTGTAACCTTAGATCCGAACGCACCCCCCCGCAACTGCTGTCGCCCCAATCGAGAATCTATCTGTCTCAGACTTAAATTTACACAAGGACTGCCCCCAGAGCTCTCTCTGGCAAGGAGTTCCAAGACTCTCGGTACTCAGAGAAAAGGAATTCCTCCTCATCTCAGCCTTAAATTGGGGCCCCTTTATTTTGAGACTGAAGAATTGTAGACTCTCCCATGAGGAGAAAATCCTCTCAGCAAGCTTCACCTTGTCAAGCTCCTTAAGAATCCTACATGTTTCAATGAGATCACCCC